TCAGCACCAAGGAAGTCGACAGCAGCAGCAGAAGCAACAGAGGGGGCAAGGGGGGAGGGGGAGCACCCCTCAAAGAAGGGCGTGCGAGGAGTGCCACGAATAGCTACAGCGACTATGCTAGTCTCAGCTGCAAGGAGGTGCTTCTCGAGCAGGTTGATAGTGAGGTCTGTGGGGTTAAGGGCGAGAAAGTGGTCCCTGACTGCGCGAAGAGAGTCAGGGAGGCGAGTGACAATAAAGTAGAGAGTGATGTAAATCGGGGGCTCGTTCTTGGCGACAAACTCGGCTGGGAGGGCAGCACGGTAGCGAGCGTCGCGAGTGCGAAGGTGGGTATCGAGGTCCTCTACAGTGGCAAAGGAGGACAGCTCGGGAAATAGGTAGGGCAGCATAAGGCGGCCGAGAGCTGCAGTGGCAGGGGAAGAGTAGCGGGCAACTACAGCGCCGTACAGGGCTTTAGCAATCTTATGCTGGCCAAAGTGAGCGCGTTCGGCTAACGGCAGGTGGTTGCGAACGGCTAGGCGAGCGGCAGCGTCACGGGTAAGCCACTGTGAGCGAGTCGCACTATCAGCTGTGTCGGGAAGGGCAAGACAGGCTCAAGACGTGTGGTCAAACAACAAAACATTGTCTTTAGAATCGCTCAGCAAGTACAGCTGTAGGTCATCAAGCCACGTCTCGAACTGGATAGGACGACCCTCAGGATCGAACTCGAGAACACTGAGAGTGGCCATTAGCAGCGCAGGGTGGCGCGTAGGGCAGGGCAGGGCAGTGCGAAGGCAGAAATGGTAGCGCACGGGCTGCAAAGGGCGGCGCGCGGGCAGGCAAATGGCGGCGCGCAGGCAAGCAGGAGCGGCGCGCGGCAAGCGAGGCGGCATGCAGGTCTGCACAGGGCAGCGCGTGGGAGGACAGAGGCGGCGCGCGGCTGGCAGGACAACGCGCGGGCAGAAAAAACAGGCGGCGCGCGGCCAGCAGGGCGGCGCGCGGGCAGAGCAGGGCGTTTGCGGGGTGGCGCGACGCAGGGGAAGGCAGGCGCGGGCGGCGCGACGCAGGGCAGGGCATGCGCGGGCCACGCGACGGGCAGGGCAGGGCGGACGCGAGCTGCGCGACGCAGGCAGGGCATGCGCGGGCTGCGCGACGGGCAGGGCAGGGCGGACGCGGGCTGCATGATGCAGGCAGGGCGTGCGCGGGCCGCGCGACGGGAAGAGCAGCGCGTGCGTGGGGCGGCGCGACGCAGGACAGGGCGCGCGTGGGCAGCGCGATGCGGGGCAGAGGCGTGCGCGGGTGGGGCGCAACGCAGGCAGGGCGTGCGCGGGCAGCGCGACGCAGGCAGGGCAGAGCGAGCGCGGGCAGCACTACGCGGGGCAGGGCAGGGCAAGGCAGCGCGACGGGTGGGGCAGCGCTACGGGCAGGGTACGATCGGGTGGGCCCTAACGAGAACGGTCCTGGAACAGGACCTGCTCTGAAACCATGTCAGAAACTAGCAGCAGGAATGAATGCATTGAAGAGAAACAGAGTACAAGTACTAACCCTAATTGGGTTGTACCCCTTATAGGCTACCCCACTACAGCCTACACAATATAAACATTAACATGTTTTGACAACCATCCCTTTCCTTGTCTTCAATCCCCGCTAAACCTTTCCTTCCACGCAATCAAGTCAGCCTCGCGTGCCATCTTTCCAAGTACTCTGACACTCAGGCGACTCCTCCACGACCCCTCAGACTCCATCCTCGGCCATGTGTCTACAGTGACTCACCTGGAGATCATCAACCTTCAATATGGTTCAGGTTTCAGTGCAGAGGGTATGAAGCACCTCTACAGACTGCCACGGCTTGAGATGCTAGACATCAGTCACACAGAAATTTCAGACGGTGCCTTAGAAGGCATTGGGACGATGGCCAGTATTAGATACCTCTATCTCCAAGAGAAGAACGTCAGTGATGCTGGTCTGCCGCACTTGACAGGTCTTTCCACCCTCAAACTTCTGTGGCCCACTAGCTGCAAAAGTGTGACAAATGCTGGCATGGTGCATGTGGGTAGACTGACTGAGCTTGAGAATTTCAGTCTGGATAGCACAGAAGTGACAGATGATGGGTTGCAGCAGCAGACTGCCCTGACCAAACTGAGAGAACTCTGGCCGCGTGAAGGGGGTACGCTTAGGAACAATGATGTATGCAGGCATATAGGCAGGTACCGATAGGTTGGCAGGGTGTGATGGAGGGGTGATGAGGTGAGGGCAGAGTAGGCGGGCAAGGCTTGGTTTGTAACAAGATGTGTAACCCATATAGTGCAACCATATCATATGTACAGATACCGTAATTGTCAAACTATAATGTTGTTTGTATTGTCTAGGCTGTATTAGGGTAGCCCATGAGGGGTACAACCCAAATCTAGGGTTAGTACTTGTACCCACATTCTGCTCAATGCAATCCATTCCTGCTAGATTCTTCTGATATGGTATCAGAGCAGTAGGTCCGTAGGACTGAACCGTTTTTTTTAGGGCCCACCATCCGCTACCCCACGCCCTAGCTGCCCTGCCTGCGCGCTGCCCGCCCGCTGCCTCGTCAGCCCCGCGCGCCGCCCGCCCGCTGCCTCGTCAGCCCCGCACGCCACGGCCCGCTGCCTCGTCAGCCCCGCGCGCTGCCCGCCAGCTGCCTCTGCTGCCCCGCGCGCTGCCCGCCAGCTGCCTCTACTGCCCCGCGCGCCCACCCCGCAGCCCTCGCACTGCCACTGCTGCCCCGAGCGCCCACCCCGCAGCCCTCGCGCTGCCACTGCTGCCCCGCGCGCCCACCTCGCAGCCCTCGCGCTGCCTCTGCTGCCCCGCGCGCCCACCCCGCAGCCCGCGCGCTGCCTCTGCTGCCCCGCGCGCCCAACCTGCAGCCCCGCGCGCTGCCTCTGCTACCTCGCGCGCCCACCCGCAGCCCCGCGCGCTGCCTCTACTGCCCCGCGTGCCCAACCGCAGCCCCGCGCGCTGCCTCTGCTGCCCCGCGCGCCCACCCGCAGCCCCGCGCGCTGCCTCTGCTGCACCGCGCGCCCACCCGCAGCCTCGCGCGCTGCCTCTGCTGCCCCGCGCGCCCAACCTGCAGCCCGCGCGCTGCCTCTGCTGCCCCGCGCGCACAACCCCACAGCCCTTGCGCTGCCCCTGCTGCCCGCGCCCTGCCTCTGCACCTCCGCGCGCTGCTCCTGCAGCCCGCGTGCTGCCTCTGCTGTCCTACCGCGCGCACCTCTTGCCTGCCCGTGCACTGCCGTTCCTGCCTGAGTAGCCATGGCATCTATCAGCGTTCTGTCGTTTGACCCTGAGGGCCGTCCGATAGAGTTTGATGCCTGGCTCGAAGATCTGCAGCTGTACCTGATGACTGATGCTAAAGACGGCGTATCCCTCTTTGACCTCGTGTCTGGCACCTCAGTCGCTCCAGCAGACACAGCTGACAGCCTCACTCGCTCACAGTGGCTTACCCGTGACGCTGCTGCTCGCCTAGCTATTCGCAACCACCTGTCGTTAGCCGAACGCACTCACTTTGGCCAGCACAAAACTGCTAAGGCACTGTACACTGCTGTCATCGCTCGCTACTCTTCCCCAGCGCTGCTGTAATTGTGTGCTCATTCCTTGATGCCCTGCTTTCATACCCCTTCCCCTCCCCTGTGCATCCTTCCTTCCCGCCCTCCCTTCCCATTCTCAGAAGCAACTCCCGGCCAATGTCGCTAAAAGCGTGTGTTAGTGGGCACATGGCACGACCTGCCAGAGTCCGCGAGGCAGGAAGAACAGCTGAGCCGAGCCAATGAGGTAGCAGAGGCAGCAAGCGACAACACGAGCATTGTGTTTGGGAACATGAACCGCTTCTCATGCATGGTGACCGGGTGGGTGCATGGGTGGTTTTTCATGCTTTTTTTGCGTGGTGTGATGGTGTATGCATGCATGGTGTGCGCTTGGTTGGTGTGTGTTTGGCGTCCGCATGGTGTGTGCATGTTTGCAGTGCATGTCTTTCGCATGTTTCCTCTCCCGTTTTCCTCCCCAGCCAGGCGTGAACGAGGTCATGGCGCTGATCAAAGAAGCTGCAGCAGGGAGGGCCTTCAGGTGAATGTGAATGGGGTTTGATGGGTGGCAGAATCAAGGGGCAGTGTTGAGCAGCTATGTTGGCTACATGATGTGTTGCATCTGTTGTTGTGATTCGTGAGTCCGCTGTTGAGACAGATTTCGTGTACCGTACATGTGAGTGTGAGCGAGCACTGATGGGCAGCATCAGTCGTACTTTCCAAGTTTTCGTTCCCCTTTTCTCACCCTTTTTTTCTTGACTCAACTCCCCCCGCCCCGCCCAGCTAGTCTGCCACATCGACTCGCACATGCCTCGCCTCATCTCTCGTGTCCTCTTGTGACCTTCTCCCCACTCCCTTTCACCCAGCAACTCAACAGCTGCATCAATCCAGTGCCAGGAATCATTTGTGGCAATCCAAGAATTATTCACTCCTAAGATGGAGGGAGTTATGCTGAGTCAAACTCCGTTGGGAAAACCACTTCGGATGTGAAAGGGCGGTTTGTCAGCGTGGTGGGGCCTACCACGTAGTTGGTGGACAGCTCAGTGTGGGAATAGATATTGGCAGAAAAAACAGTGATTTAAGTCAGTGCGAATGCAGTGAGGTTAGTGCGAGGAGAAATCCAAGTTCAGGAGACCAGAAGGTTAGAATTGCAAGAATCGAAGCATAGATTCTACTAATGCCTAATGTGAAACATCTCCACTAATCCGTTTGTACAATTTGAGATTATTTTAGTATCAAATGCATGGGGTCCACTACATGGGTGCTTACAATGGTGAAATCTGAAACATTGTACCGTAAGCTCTGTGCGTGTACCAGCACTACCGTAGTCACGGGAAAATACCAGCCAACGAAACTCCATACTCATGGCCGACCAGAGGATCAATAGTAATAGTCATCCCGTGGTCCCCACTCGAAATAAACTCCTGTTCTATACCAGTCCGCATTCCTGTCTGCATTCCTGCCCGCATTCCTCTAAGCACGGCCTACATTAGCCACCCCGCTCTTGGACAAATCCACATGCCTAAGTGCCTTGGCCTGTCTGAGCGAATCTGGCAGAGTCCTGAGTGCCACACATTCCCTTAGAAGCAGCACCTCTAGGGCAAGCAACAAACCTATGTAAGCAGGCAGGGCATGCAGGCGCGGGCAGCAGCTGAAGCTGGCCACACGGAGGGACGGCAGGCAGGGGAAGGAGGCGGGCAGGTGAGTGAAGGAGTCACAGTAGATGACCGCCAGCCGGGCCAGTCGGGGCAGGGAGCCAAAGCCATCAGGGAGGGTGGAAAGCTTGGGGCACTTTGTGATGGTGAGGTGGAGGAGGGAGGCGAGGGAGGAGAATGAGTCGGGAAGGCTGTGCAAGCGAGAGCAGGAGTGGATGGAGAGGTGTTGGAGGGCACCTAGGGAGCCGAAGTCTGCGGGCAGGGTGACAAGACAGTCACTGCCAGTGATGGTAAGTGTGTGGAGGCGAGAGAGGAGGCAGAAGGAGGGAGGCAAGCTGGCAAGGACTGGAAACTTCAGAGATGCTTCTTGCAGGGAGGTCAGGCCGCCGAGAGTGTCTGGCAGAGAGGAAAACGACCCCTCAATAACCACCCTCGTTAGTGTCCCAAGGGATCCAAACTCTCGTGGTAGATGCTCCAGCTGATTGCACCTTTCAGGCTGCGGCTCTTCTCCTCTAGCCATCCTGGCTAACATGCTTCTATATGACGCAGCTTCCTTATCCGACACACGCTCTTTCAGCTCTAGCGACTCCAGCGCTGCCAAGTCGCTGATGTTCTCAGGAATGAAGGGAATGAAGGGCTCAGAGTGAGGAAGGTGGGCGCTCTTCGTGATGCGTAACTTGCGGAGTGAGAGCAGGCGGGCGAGGTGAGAAAGCGGAGAGGGGATGAATACGTCTGTGAGGTGAAGCTCGGTGAGGGAGGTGAGGTGGGGATGAACGAGGGCAGTGTGAGAGGAGATGAATGAGGGCGCTTGTCTTCCGATGCTGCTGCTGCTGCTGCTGCCGCTGCTGTTGCTGCTGCCGCCGCCGCTGTTGGTGCTTCTGCTGCTGCTGGCGGAGCTAAAGTCGTACTCCAGCGATAAGGACTGGAGGGATGGGGCGAGGAGAGAGAGGGAGGCTGGGAGGCGGAGGAAGCAGCCGAAGAAGGAGAGAGAGCGGAGGATGGTGAGGCGGCCAAAGGCGGCCAGCACGAAACTTCTAGGCTTGAGATCGGTGATGGAGAGGTGCGTGAGCGAGCAGAGGGACCAGAGGTGGGCGGATAGGTAGCTGCCTTGCGAGTCCTTTTCACCTAGGCTCAATTCTAGGTGCTGCAACGAGGGGCCAAGAGACGAGCACTCGGCTTGAGCGGCGGCGGTGGCGGCGATGGTGGCGGCTGCAGCAGCAGCAGCAGCAGCAGCAAAAGCAGCAGCAGCAGCAGCAGCAGCAGCAGCAAGAGCAGCAGCAGCAGGAGGAGCGGCAGCCTCAGCAGCGGCGTCAGCCGAGGCGTCGGCAGCAGCGGCGGTTTCCGAAGCGAGGGCGAGAGGCAGATAGGCCAGCATAGACCCTTTGGGAGCGTCGCCCTGCTCCACCCACGCCCCCTGTCCACACTCACGTGCGCCAGCGACGGCAACGCCAACAAGCCTACGGGAAATGCCTCATCCCCAGTAGTGAAGCGCCAGAAAAGATCTCAAACCGAGACCTTGAGTCGTTGGAGGGAGGTTAGTTGGCAGAGAGGGTGCAGCGGTAAAGGGTGCAGGCCTCCCTCGAAAGTCAAGTGACAGCAGCGGTGAGTCCCGAACGATGTTGTCTAAGGGGAGAGCATCCATATTCTGGCAGGAGCGAACAGTGAGGCGCTTTAGGGTTTTTAGCCATGCAGGCGGGAAAGAGCGCACGCTGCATTTCTCGAGCGAAACCTCTTCCAGTCTCGTCCACGCTTCGCACCCGTCTGGAAAGTCGCTGTCGTAGCGTCGCAGCTGCAGGCGCCGCAGCTGCTGCAGCGCGGTGATGCTATTGGGGAGTCGGCCGCAAGGGAAGGCTATGCAGAGCGAGGTGAGGGACGAGAGGTCGCCCAGAGAATCGGGCAGGCTGTGCGCGCCGTTCTGGCTGTCGACGATGGAGAGACGCGTCAAAGCTTTCAGCTGCCCGAAGTCCTCGGGCACATCCCACAGCATCGAGCAGCTGAACTGCAGTTCCTGGAGCGCGGGCAGATAGCATAGTCCGTCCGGGAGCCGTTGAATCGTGTCGGAGCGGAGGCGAAGCACGCGCAGCGACGACAGCGACGAAATCGAATCAAGATGCTTCCTGGCCTCGTAAGGAAGCAGCAGCGCGAGCTCCTGTAACTGCGGCGCTGCGGCGCGGAAGAATGAGTTGAGCGATGCGAAGCTGATGGTGAAGGGCGGCGGTGCGTCGGCGAAACGAGGCTCGCCGAGGGTCAAGCAGGTCAGCTTGGGACAGGCGGCGAGCAGCGAGGTAAGGAAGCTATCATCGTAGAAATCAACGGCGCCGTCGCCCAGTGCGAGGAAAGTCACGCTCGGCGCGCGGGAGAGCGTGCGGAGGAGCGCGGGCGTGGAGAGCTTGGGGACGGGAAGCAGATTTTTATCCGTAAATTTAATAAAACCTGAGTCGTAGTACCGGTAATATTCTTCCCGACGAGGTGGAGAGTCGGCAGGAGCGCTGATGCGCACGACGGGCAGCAGCGAGGCCCATCGCTTCGACACCATCCCCAAGCCATGGCACGGGCTGACATCGGACTCGACGCTGGGCTCCGCGTCGCTCGCGGCAGCGGCGACTTGAGAGATGTCGGTGGATGCGCATAACGCGGATGCTCGTTACGCAGGTGCTCGTCACCCCGTTCTTCCACCCGTTCCTGGAGGACCCGGGTGGACCCGTACGCTCCATTCTCGCTGCCTGGTCTGTAGACCCGTTAGTGATGCCTAAGCTCGTAAATCTCGCAAGTCCAGTTTCCACCAGATCTGCCTTAGCTGTATTGCCGAAGCGATGTCATTTGTGGTGGACAGCTGATTTGAGCTATCAGGGTTTGACGCTTTTGGGGCCGTGGTTCAAGGTTGTGTTCGGAATTCTTGTTTCCGGTAATTCAGTGTTACAGCGTAATGGGAGTCGTGTACACAGTTTGGTTGCCATTTTTTCAGCAGCGAACACCGTCATAGTGGCTAAGTGTGTGCATCATGCCTGAACCAACTCGACTTCCTATATGAGCCAAATTCGCTAATGCGAGATTCTGAACAGGCCCTCAGCCCTGCTGCTTCCAATGTCGCCAGGCGAAATCGCCTTCCAATCTGCTCTAGGCGTTCCAATCCGCTCTGGCGTCGATACAGCAGGGTAACACCACAATGGTGTGTGATAGTGGGGCATGAATTTCTTTCCGCACTGCCTCGATGATCCTGACATGGAACATTCAACCGACAATTGGGCGATAACGGCGAAAACTTCGTGACGACCTTGAAACGACGCACTGGTATCGGCGCGAACGACGCGTGAAAGTAGTCATGGGGATGTAAGAATCGCCGTAAAGGCGAACGCATGTCGTCCTCAAACCGATCTTGCGTGCCACCCAGTTGGCTCGTTGTCGGATTCGCCGTGAGAACGCAACGATCCATCATAGCCTAGCTGGGGAATTTGAACACCCTCTTAGCCGACTTGGCAGGCACAGTACGACATAACACATCGTTGTCTCGCACCACCAGAACGAATCCTTTTTTTTCGATCTTCTCTCTCCCTCCATTCAACTTTGGCTGCTGGGCTAGCCGGATATTGCGCCCTCGCCTATGCGCACCCTATTTTCTGGCGCTAGTTTGGTGACGTTGTAGGAAGTGAGCATTGTTTTCTTATTGCTTGATGCCATCACCTGTCGTCCACCGCTGTCACCCCCCCTCCCTTCCCCCCCTCCCCCCGTCCCCCCCCCCTCGGCCCCTCTCACCCACCCCGGTGCCCCCCCCCCACCCTCCCCCCTACCCCCTCCCCCCTCCTGCCCCCTCTCACTCTGTGGGTTAAAGGCGTGTGTGAGAGTCACTCAAGGGCGCGGTGGAGGAGGGAATGAAGTGAAAAGGAGTGACGGAGGTTGGGGGGGGGAGGGAGAGGCGGGTGAAGCTGGACCGGGCGGAGGATGTAGAGGATGAGTTGGGTGTTACGGATTGGGTGGCAGGGGGTGGATAACAAGCTGGAAAAACACCAATGTGAGAGTCGGTGGGGGCGGGGGCCGTGCATGTAGAATTCGCTCGATTTACTTTTGGGCGATAAGTTAAGAAAGCACTTGAGGATATGGCCAATTTGCGAGTCTCAGAGAGTCAGTGAGGAGTCGGTGAGAAGCCGGTGAATTGGGGGGTGGAGTTAGTAAGTCTTCTAGATGTGCAGATGTGCGGTGATGTGCAGATGTGCGGTGATGTGCAGATGTGCGGTGATGTGCACTAGGCGGTGTATATGTTAGTTCGGTTGAGTGAGTAAGTTCGTTACTTGATCTTAATCGATTGCGAATTTGCGATTTGCGTCAAACTCGCACACCACAAAATGACGTACGATTCTATTTTTAGTCAGCCCATAAAAGAATGTTCGAGCGTCAAGTCACATGACGCTCGGCTGCATGAGTGTCAATTCCCGCATGTTTTCAAACCTGCTTCTCGTACTCAAACTCATACACTCACGCCCCTATGGCTCTGTCTCCCACATCCTCGTCCCCGCATCCTTCTCATCAACATACTGCTCCCCTCCTTCCTCCTCCTCCCCCTCCCCCCCTCTCCTAGCTCCGCATCTGCTTCCCCTATACGGACTTCTGGTCCTTAGGTTCGCACCCCTACAGCACTGTCTCCCGTCTCTCTTTTAAGTCACTGCTAATTTTTCTTCTTCCCCCTCCCCCTCCCCCTCCACCCCAGCTCCACACCTGCTTCTCCTACACCCACTGCCCCACTGCACAGACTCCCCCCCACACACAACGCAGGCGGACTGCTTACCAAAGGTCGAGCAATATTCCCTCCCCATACCCTCTCCTCCCCACCCTCCTCTTCCGCACCCCTCCCAGCTCCACACCTGCGTCGCTTACTCCAGTGTTTGGCCCAATGCTCCTTCCCTACGGTGGCGCTGCACTGCTCACCCACCCAGGCACTGTCCCTTCTCTCCCCCTTCCGAACTCCCCCAACCCTCTCCGCGCACCACCAGCTCTGCACCTGCTTCTCCCACACTGACTTGTGCCCCACCGACTCCCACTCAAGAGGCTGCTGACGTGTGGTGTTCAAGAGGCTGCTGACGTGGCAAGGGTGCACAAGAGGCTGCTGGGCGAGGCAGCTGGGTGCTGCATGGCGGTGTGGTTCCACACAGGCGAGCAGAGGAAGAAGGTGTGTTCTGAGTGATTGATGGGTAGTGGGCTTGGCTGTTGTTCATTGTGGGCCACTAGTAGATTACGGCTGAGGCAAGGCTGCTGGGTGCATCGTGGCAGCATTCTTCCTCAAGGACGAGCAAAGGCCGAAGGAGGTTCGGGGGCTGCTTATGGGTCAGTGGCAGGTCAGTGGCAGGTCAGTGGCAGGCCAGTGGCAGGCGAGCAGCTGGTTTGGTAAACGCCTGGCCGAAGGCCCACAACTGAGTTTCCAAAGGTCCCAATGAGGAATTTAGCGGGACTGACACTCCACATTCCCATCATCACTCGCCACTCCTCACCAATTTCACCAGCCTCTCCTGATGGCCGTTAATGCTTCTCCCCCTCTTCCCTCTGCTCTTCCTCCTCCTCTTCTGCTATTCCCCCCTTCCCCAATCCCTCCAATCACCCACCAGGACAGCATAGTGCAGCCAGTGGCGTTCGTTTCTTTGCCGTCTCTCCCTCACCAGCCTCTCCATTTCTTGCCGCTGGCCTCTCATGCGGCCCTCTCATGCGGCCCTCTCATGCGGCCCTCTCATGCGGCCCTCGCTCCTCGACCATCACCTTCTCTGGCAGCAATCTCTCGAGTCTCGATCCCTTGGCGTTGGGTAGTCGCCCCACCATGGCCTCCTACTGGCTCTTAGTCTAGTAGTCGTTGTGTGTGAAGTGAGCCCTTCTCCTCCCATTCCCCCTCCCCTCCTTCCCTCTCCCCCCTTTCCCGCTCCTACCCTTCCCACTCCCCCCCTTCCCTCTCCCCCCTTTCCTCTCCCCATGTTCCGTCTCCCCCGCTTCCCTCTTCCTCCCTTCCCTCTTCCCTCCCCCCATCTCCTGCTCTTCCCACTCCTGCTCGCCTATCGTCGTGCTGATAGTGTGAGGTGGGGTCAGTGCCTCCACCCCACCCACATCCACTCAACTAGTCAAGTGCTTCGTGGTAGGGTGCCACAGCGTGGTAGGGTGCCACAGCGTGGTAGGGTGCCACAGCGTGGTAGGGTGCCACAGCGCGCACCTCTCCCCACTCGTCCTTGCTTGCTTGTCCATGCTCGTTGGTTGCTTCATCCTCCCTCCCATTCCCTCATCCTCCCCTGTAACCCCCATCCTTCTCCCACAATCCACACCCCCAGGTCCTCCAGTTCACCATTGCAGCGTGCTGCAGCATACACCTCTCCCGCCCGCCCTGCCTCATTGTTTTCCCATGCACTTTGCTTCTCCATTCACCCTTTTCCCCACGCACCCATCCCTCAAGCCCCTCCCTTTTATCTCTCTCTCCCCCCCACCTCCCTCCCTCTCTCCCGCACTACAGACTGCACCTGTCCTCATTCCCCTCTTCTCCATGATCACAAACAACCCCGCCCACACCACCAGATCTCCCCTCGCCCTACCTCCTCCCCGGCCCGATCCCCTGGGTTGCCATACCGCAGCACTACCAGTCCCTCATGCCCTTCTCCCAGGTACGCAGTTAAGGCATGGGACCGGGGCCAGGAAAAGGCAGTGAGGTGGGGGATAGGGCAGTGAGGTGGGGGATAAGGCAGTGTGTGTGAGGGGAGGGAAGGAAGAGGGGAGAATGCAGTCATGGCAACTCTCCCTGCACTTCCTCCTTCCCTGACCCATGGGCTGCAACGGTGGAATGTGCGGAAAAGGCGTGGCTGTGTAAAGGTCGGACACCTCTCTCTCTCTCCTGCCTCATGGCCTTCCCCTCTCTTCTGTCCCTCTCCCCGTTCTGCTTTCTGCCTCTGCTTGCTGGTGGTCTCCACTTCTCCTCCTGTTCCTATCTTTGTGTACGGCTTCTCTCTTGTTTCTCCTTACCCCTGCCTTCTCCTTGTCCCGGGACCTCTGCGTGGATGGTGTTGTGCACGTGGATGGAGGTACATGGTGGAGGTGGGTGGGGCACACATGGTGCAGGTGGGTGGGGCACACATGGTGCAGGTGGGTGGGGCACACATGGTGCAGGTGGGTGGGGCACACATGGTGCAGGTGGGTGGGGCACACATGGTGCAGGTGGGTGGGGCACACATGGTGCCGTCCACAAAAGTGAGGAGCTGCCCTCGATCCCCCTTACCCTCACTCGTCACCCATCTACCCTATGGCTTTCTCTGTTTGGGAAAGTGAGCCGTGGCCTCTCAGAAGTGAATTGGCTCATTCGTATTGGCCGCCCTTCCAGCCTTCGTCTTCCCTTCCTGCCGTGCCTTCCTTTTCCTCCCTGCCCACCCTTGCTGTCCATCACCTCTCTCTCTTTGCAGGCACGATCCGGTATGCGCAAGGCCAAGATCACCACTCTCATCACCGCCGCCCTCTGTTAACCTTTGCAGGGTTCTTTGGCTGCTGTTCAAGAATGGCAGCACGATCTCGTCCTCCTTGCCCATTGATTTCCGTATGTCACAAGTCACTCTACTTCTGCCCGTTCTGTTGCCCAGGAGTGGCGCCATGTTCCCGTTAATACAACCCAACCCACGGATTGCTTGGGCGCTTGACCACCTAGCAGTAGGCCAAGAACCTTGCCTTTTAAATTGCAGTTGCTGGATGCATGCACTTCTCTTTGTTGTATCTAGTTTCAGTTCAGAGCAGCTGATTTACGTGGAAACAAACCATCATTCATCTGCACTGAGCATGTAACAACTTGCAACAGAAGACTCACTTAGAAAGTATGCACCCAATGCGAGCATCTCACACACATCTTGCGACATCTCACAAACTTGACAACTTTGACATGAAGCTACACAAGCATTGCGAAGGCATAAGCTGGACTGTCAATGGATGACCGAGGCCTGCGTGGGAGTGAAGGCAGGTTGGGTCGAAGTCGCAAGGGCAGAAAGCAGGAAGGATGAATGGTAATTGGATTGTTATAGGTAATTTGACATGAGAAGAGTGGTGTGTATGAGAGGCGTGGGGGGTAGTAGAGAAGTGCGGGGTAGGAGAGGAGTGGAGGCTTGGGCTGGGAGAGAAGTAAAGGGTGTGAAAGGAGTGGGTTGTACGATTGAAAGTAAAGTGGGAGGGATAAGAGGAGTGGATGGTTCAAAAGAGTTGATGGTTGTAAGAAGAGAGGAAGGTAGGAGAGCAGTAAAACACGACTCCTAATTTGCTCATGTCTAGCAATAACTCATATAGGCACCCCTCGAAAAAGATGCAATGAAGGACAGAAGGCCCACCATGAGTAACTGATTGCATGCACTCAGTGCTTCAGGCCTGCCCAGCGCAAGAGTGGGTGAGAGATGCAGCGGTAAGCACATGAAGAAAAAGGTGAAGTGGTGAAAAAGACAGGGCGGGAAAAGGAGACAGGAAGGGCAGTGCAGGGACTGGGAGAAGGGCGGTGAGGGGACATGACAAGCACTATATGCTTTACCACACTCGAAACAGACTCATCCAGAAATATAGAGGGGCCTCAGCAAGCACATGGGATCTCAAGGGGCGTCAGCAAGCACATGGGATCACAGCGCTAGTTTTCCCTTGTCACATCTGCCAGCGCAACTCTGTGCAAGACACTGGAATTGGTGACCTAAATGGACATCGCAGCTTTATGGCAGAACGCAGACCTCCCTGGTGCACCCAATTCATCTCTCGCCTTCACCTCACCTCCCTCCTGCCACTTTAACTCTCTCGCCTTCACCTCCCTCCTGCCACTTTCGCTCTCTCGCCTTCACCTCCCTCCTGCCACTCCCTCACTCGCTTTCACCTCCCTCCTGCCACTCACCTTGCCACTGTTCGTCGCACTCTTCTTGCTGTTGCTCCTGCCGGGGCATGTGAGCTTGTGGGAGGGCCAGTGCGCCTTTTGGCACTCCCTGCTGCAATACGCCACCCTGCCACACCCAGAGCAGTTCCTAAGCTTCACACCACCAACCTCCACCTTCTCGCACCTCACAGCACCGCACGCACGCTTCCTACAAGCAGCAGCACCCGAGGCTGCAGTAACTGAAACAGTCGCGGCTGCATTGGCTCGTGCAGCTCCATCAGTGGTTGGAACAGCAGGGGTGGAAGAGACAGCAGCAGGGGAGGCAGGGCGGTAGCACGGCTCCCCCAGCAGCATCTCTCGCAGACATGCCACCAGATTCACTCCCCCCGGCCATGCCTTCAGATAAGCCGGCTCCCCGCCCTTCTTGCCTCTCCGCTTGCTGAAACCACCAAGCCCATCCCCCTGTTTCATGTCTTCACGGAACCTGGGCAGCAGGGAGCACTGGTAAACCTCACTGGCCTCTTCAACCCGTGCAAACTCATCCTCCTCCCCTGCCATCCTGCCACTACACGCCAGCCCGCCTCCCCCCATGCCAGAGGCGGGCAGCATTGCCACCGTGAACCACGACTGCACCTCCTCCCACACAACCCCACTATCTCCTTCACCATCCCCACACTTGCCTCCCCTCATGCCCTCCCCACTAGCCCCACTCTCTGCCCTCCTCCCGTCTGCCTTCTCCTTGGCCCCAGAAGTGCCCGTGCCAGCCCTCGAATTCTGTCCACCTTCCGTGCCGCTCTGTTGCAGGAGAGGCGTGGCGCAGAGCAGCGCCAGGCTGAGCAGAAATGCAACCGGCACCTGCTCTGCCCGTTCCCGTAATGCACGCACACTGCTGCTGCTGGTGCTGCTGCGTTTGCCAGAAAAGCTGTCATGAGGAGCATTCAAGGAGGAGTCCAGTCCCAGGCGGGAGAGAAGGCTCTGAAACACCTCAGACTGCGGCTTGAAGACAGAGAGGAAGCGGTCGAGGAGGACAGCAACAGGGCGATAGGCGAAATTGGCAATGAGAGCGATGAAGGGGGCGTGGGAGATGTACAGGGTGATGCACTGGCTGCAGTGGGCGCATGCTGGTGCCTCCAGGAACAAACCAGCAAACTCCACTATCAGGTCCGCCTCTGCCCTGCAACGGACAATTGGACGGGACTCTCCATTCTGATGTGGCAGCAGAGCTTCCGGGAAGCTTCCCTGCTGCGCTTCCCCATTCCCGCTGTTCGTGCGACTGCCATCAGCCCTGCCCAGCCCGAAACATCTCGCACTGGAGTCCTCAGGAAACTTCATAGCAGCTTCGTTCCCCTCTGGCCACTCCTCCCACTCCAGGAGGCGGGTGCTTCCGTCCAATGGCGGGAGAACAGCGCCGAACCTGACCAGCAGGCTCGGAAGATCCTGAAGCGGGTGGCGTATGGGCAGGACCTTTCCATGTCGGCTGTCCTTGAAGCAGTTCTTGGCGGAAATCGAATCTGAGCCGTAGATCCGAAGCCACTGCAAGATGCAAGCAACCCGATACGTGAGCAGCCCAATGGTTGGGTCTGTGTTGACAGGAACGAGGCCAGGACTGAGCATCCCACTGCTGCTGATGCTGCTGGTTCCACTGATACCAACACTGAGAGCTGGTTGCCCTTTTGCCGGTGCAGCTGCTGCTGCTGCATCCATTGCTCCTCCTGTTGCCCCTCCCTCGTTTCCCTCTTTCCCTAGCTTCCCACTTTTCAGCATCCGCTTCCTCAGCCTCTCCCGGGCCTCGTCAATGGCTGCATCTTGCACGTTGCTGCTGGATACACTCTGAGATGATGCGAAGAACATGGCTCCAAGCTTGCGGTGCTCTGGCATGGAGAACACTGAGGCGACTGCCAGGGCGAAGTCAGTGGCGCCCACGCCACTCACATACATGCCCTTGGGAATATCCCTGCCTTCCATATTGAGGCTGCTGCTGCCCCCGCCGCCGCAGCCGCTGCTGCTGTCACCATCGCCACCGCTGCTGCTGCCGCCGCAGCCGCCGCCGCCACCGTCGCTGCTGCTGGTGCTGCTGCTACTTCCTTCAATGCAGTGGCTGCACCGGAACTCCCTCCCTTCCCCCCCTCCATGCTCCAGAATCCAAGCCATGCCATCCACATACCTCTCCCACACACGCCCCTTCAGATTCTCCCTCCACTTCTCACCCTTCGGATCACCCCCACACTTTCCATCCTTCCCTTTCCGCCCACCACCACCAACTCCAAGAGGCAGACCCATCCCCATGCCCCCCCCACCATCGCCCCCGAGCATCGCCAGCATGTCTGCCATGTCTACTCCGTACTCGTGCATGATCTGCAGCCAGTCGTCTGGCCCCATGCAAGCCCCACTCTGCATGCTCTGCATCACAGCACCCATTGCTTCTCTCACCTTGTCCATTTGCCCTGCACTCGCACTCGTCGGACCCTTCTTCCCAGCTCTCCTACTGCCCTTCCCCTCCGCCTTCTCAGCATCCTTCCCCCGAGCTCCCCCCTTCCCCCTCCCCTCTGCATGCGCCTTCTCCAGCCCGCCTGACAGCACATGCTGCACAAAGAACCCAAACCCTTCCTTCAGGTCAGCGCTCTCCTTCACCCCCAGCACCTGCACCAGCACGGAGGCAGCACTGCCCTCCTCCTCTTGGCGGCCCGCCCCCAGCTGGCTTGCTAGAGCTGGGTAGACGGCGTCATATACATCCACGTGCGCTTTCCATATGGTGTCCATTCGGGGCCACCTCGCCACAAGCACGAGGAAGGAAGCAAAGCTCACAGCATGGCGGTAGGCAGCCCAGCAGCCGCTGCAGCAGCAGCAGCAGGACCATGTTGCAGCAGCAGCAGGCGCAGCAGAGGAATCCCCAAAAGAGCATTCATTGGCCAGGATGGCAGGCAGGCGGGATCTGATCCTCCCCAGGTCCATGAGCACGCCCACACGAGGCTCAGCCATCCACTCGAGCAGCATCGCTTCCGCGCAAACAAACGGTGCAAGAGCACACTTGCAGGAGAATTGCGCACGAGGCGCCATCTCCCCTTGCTCTCCAAACGCCTGCACTCTCAGAGCACACTCCAGCATGCTCCCTGTCGGGCCGGATCCGTTGCCCCTGTCGCGGCTTGGTGCAAGAGGGGTGGCGTCAGGCACCTGTTTGGTGAGGAGGGATCGCACGAAGTCAAGGCTCTCCATGGTCACAACACGCTCTGCTCCCAGGCTGACTGCGCGGTCGAAGCAGCACTCGCACTCCTTCAGATCCCACCCGCCCCTCACGTCAAGATAATGGACCATTTCGGTCCGACCAAGCAGCTGAAGCTTCCCGGGTGTTTCCTGACCTCCCGCTTTCCGTGAACTCCCGGCTTCCCGTGTAGATGCCTTGTGGACTGCATCTGTCTGCTTTGGGAACTTCCACTGCCTCATCAACTCGTGGCGATGACTCCAAATGGACTGCTTAAGTTCCGAAAGACCGGCCCCACAGGTTGTTGCAGAAGTCAGGACCTTCTCCCTTCTTCCACCGCCGCTTGCTGATGCGCGTCTGTTGAGCTTTCTGTGATCCTCGTTCTCCCCCTCCTCCCCCTCCTCGTCTTCATCACTGCTGGATCCCATATGGTCCCACTTGCTGTAGTCAACCCCACGAGGCCTGGCGACCGAAGTGGGAGCAGCAGCAGGAGCAATAGGAGCAGCCGCAGGAGCACCAGGGGCAGCAGCGGGAGCAGCAGAAACAGCGGCGGGAGCAGCAGAAAAAGGACCGGGAGCAGCAGAAACGGCAGCAGGAGCAGCAGATGAAGAAGCAGCAGCAACAGCAAAATGCTCGTTCCCAGCAGGCACAGCAGCAGGAGAACTCACACCATCTTCACCTCCCTTGCCCTTTCCCTCTCCACCCCCATGCACAGCGGCAATATTCACGGGAAGCACTCGAATGGTGGAACCGGATTTCAGCTTCGCTTGCTCCACAGTGGATTCAGGAGAAAGGTACACCACCTGGCCTAGCACCATGAACCGAACCTGCTGCTTCCGAACCTCCGAATCAAAACCCTCCGCCTTACCCCCCTCTCGTCCTCCCTGCTGACGTGGATCGGATGGTAGGCAGCAGTTGGAAAGATAGGTCTGAAAGAGCCTGTTGAAGACCGATCCGAGCAAATCATTTGGAGAAACGGCTAGGTGAATGTCCATATGGTCGCACGATGATAACGCAACAGGTAGCTTGTTCTCAGAAAGGCTGCTGGCAACGGTCACACTGCTGGCGCACGGATCTTTGCTTCCAGACTCGCTTGATTCGCGTCGATTTAGACCCGCTGGGACCCTGAACCGGATATAAAAAGCCATGGATACTATGGTGTTTTGACTTAGGATTTGCTGTGCGGGTAACGGCTTCGGGAACGAAGGAAGCCTTCCACCAATGATAACGGTTCTGCCAGCATAAAATGCCTCAAGCAGTCAGCGCCTAAAGGGAATTCACGGGTCGCGAACTTCCAAGGCGGATCGCGTGCGCTACTAAGCTAATAGCGCATGAAAGTGGCCGCGTTAGTACCAATCTGCAAAGTCATCAAGCCATGCATACCCCCCCCCCGAGCATGTAGTAAACTGAGCGAATTCGTCGTTTAAACCAAGCCGTCGCCATGGAAGGACTATCTTCAGTTTTGAGGTTTTGCCAGTTTTAAAAACCAGAGAAGCAAGCAGGATGGTTTTGCAAGCACGACGAAATTGGCGAGAAGGATTTGCGACAGTCACAATTTAGCTTTGGTGGTTTCCACCAAGGCAACCTGGAACCAGCTTTGCGGGGAAAATTTGGAGTGCCTTTCATATTCTCTCATGGAGAAAATATATTGGAACGTTGTTTCAGGTTACACGTGTTTGGCGAAAGCAACGCGTTTGAATGAAGTTCGCGCATCCAGATCCGAACCCACCTCCATTTGAATGAGTTCCCTTTTCACGCGGCCTCTCTTCTGTGACTCTCTTCCATCTCCTCTCAGGCCATGGAGACCAGAGCTACAGCACTGCCATGTGTGTGCGAGCAAGCACATTCTCCAGCCTCCGCTTATAGTTGCAACTGTCGCCGTGCTAGCTGCATGCACGCGCCGCTCGCGACTTATCCCGCACATTATATGAAATGATGTTTCGCTTTGTGGTCCTTTTAAATCGCGGAAATCGATATCGGGTTGGTAGATCTACGACCACATCCTCACGATGCCGCGATGTGATGTTACCCAGCACAGGCACGCACCGTGACAATCTCACTACCATAGAGAGTGCTACGTTGCGCTTGTGAAAACGAACGCCAGAGAATGGCGTGAACGGCCTGCGTGGGGGTAACCATAGTGATAATGGCCGAGTCTCAACAGCGGCTAGCTATAGCAAAGCGAACACTAGAAATGCACTGCGGGATGAGAAGAGAGCCTGGGGGGAGAAGGGTGTTGAGTATGCAATGCCTGCTGCAGAGGCCCATTGGAGGGCATCTTTGTGGAAGCGAAAGTTGGGTCTGGCTGCAGAGGACCTCGCCGAAGGGAAGGGCGCGTCTGCAGAAAACATTTCAGCAGAGGAGCGGCATCTCCTCGACGGGCGACCCTCCGTGCGGAAGTGCGCGAATATTTTCTCCTCTGGGGGATCTCGAAAAAAAATTCGGACATCGAAAATCTGACCCCGTCAATTTCTGGCACGGCTGCTCGAGCTTTCCCATGCCGAAGCAAAGGGTGTAGGTCAGGCACGCCAGGCTCGACCGGGTAAATTGGTGAACATGACTTCTGAGGTGTTATCGAGGTAGGGGAGGGAGACCGTTCAGGAGGTCCGGTTGACATTTGTTCGGATACGGTTTCCAGATTATTCCAAGGCGTCTGTCTTTCCAAGCCCCAAATATGACGGGGATGAGGCTCGGTCGAGTTGACGAAGCCAAAGGTTACTCGTACCGCCTCCTCCGAAAGCCTCATCGGAAAAAGGTCGTCGGAGCGGTTTTGCCTGTGTAGACGGGAGGGGTCGTCGGAGGAGGGCCTGACGAGGCGGGCGACTGACGCGCGTGCGGGCCCGCCAGCCTGGCCCAGGGCTGGGCCGAGCGCACGACCGCCGCCCTCCGAAATTGAACAGCGACCCACGTTACCGGGTGGGGTCGGCGAACTGGCGACCCCTCGCGCGAGGGAAAGTTACCCTCGCGCGAAGGCAGCCCACACGTGCTGCCTGCCCGCGAGGTCCTAGTAACCCATCGCGGCCTGCCCGGACGGGCAGGCGAGGGCCGTGCGAAAATACGGGCCCCCCTCGGGACACTCGACAATTTCGCGATTCGCAGCGGTGGCGCCACGTGTTCGCCCGTGGCTTCGCATCGGGCGCATGCGAAATTTTTTACGAGGCGGAAATAAATTCTCTCCCATCGCATGCATTCTATCGTCGCGAACCGCTACGAAATCGACACGTGTCGATTGTAGCGTCGCTCCGCGCGCAGGAGGATTCGTGCGTCCCCTCGCCGACCTGGGCCAATGGACGCGAAGTCGACGCTCTACCAAGGCGGAGACGGACCACCTGTGCCACTTGCGCATCCGCCCTCCGAGCACTGCCGAGCCAGGCCCTGCACCCTTGGGCGATGCTGAACGGGCCTGGAGGGGGGGGGGGGGGGGGGCACCACCTCCTTTTCTCTGTGGAAGGTGGCCTCGCTCCGCATTTTCGGCATCTCTTTTAGATTTTCAAACATTGACAGCTCTGCGCCTCCCCTCTCTCCTACCAGAGCCGTCCGCCTCTTTTCTTAGTCGACAGATATGGAGCCGATCTCCGCCGCCGATAAGTCGGCGCCGACATCGGCCGACTTTCCCCTTCGGGTGCAAATGGGTCGCGGTCTCAGCTTCACCTTAGAGTGGAACGACTACGCCGTCCTTCGCGACCAAAAGAAAGAGTTCACCGAGAGATGCTTTGGACTCGCCATCAGGTGGGACGCGGGTAGTCGCGGTAGTCGAATAGGGAAGATGTCGGTGCCGACCAACCCTAGTAGGGCGCACTGTCGCCGATTGTCTTCCGACGTACGTCGGCGGGCGCGTTTGACGAAGCACGTCGACATGGCAGCGTTTGCTTACCAGCCATGTTCTCATCCCTCGTGCTCACTCGTGCGCTCAGGTTCGCTTGGTTTGACATTGGGCGGGACGACCTGCGGTTGTGGGTGCTGGGGATCGGCCCGCTTCGATCGGCCATGAAAGCCGCCGACCATTCTTGCTTTGCTAAGGCTTTCGACGCCGACATCGCCGCTATCCCGCTGAAATCGACGTGAGCTGTTACCCCGTTGTCCAGTCATCGTTTTTCAGTGTCGGCCGCATCAACGCCTTATGCTGTGGTCGACGCCGTCGTTTATTGCGTGTGCAGCGGCGGCCCGCTTCCAGGGTCACACTGCAGCGTCATAGCCATCCTCTACCCAGGAGATGTGCTGAAGGCTGAGGGACAGGTCTGCAGGACATCGATCCGGCACATCGACCCGCACACCGGAAAAGGGAAGCACCGCGACGAGGCCGTCCGCGTCCTGAAGTAAGTTGTGAATAGTCGTCGCTGTCGAGTTTGTTAGTCGCCGACACAGGGAATCTCATGCTGACCTCCTCTCCACTACGTTGCTCCAGGCTATTCCGCACGGCTGCCCTGGCCGAGCTGGGGCGTCCCGGTAGGAAGTGGGACGGGGCGCCGCCATCACAAGCAGTGGTGGAGGAAAGGCTTGCCGACTGCGACGACCCTATCCGCGACGTGAGTTGCACGTTTAGGCTCCGCTACGGTCTGCG